ATATGTCTTGACACCTGGGATCCTGGCTGATATGCCAATTTCCATCTTGTCCACTTGGCAAAGGTAAAGATATAGTTCTGGAAACTCCCAGTAGCCCTTCCAGTTTCTTTCCAATATCTCATATGTGACAACCCCTCACATTCCATTGGCTGAAGCAAGTCACATGGCCAGGCCTAAAAAAAGAACAGTGTTCCCACAAGGAAGTACGGCAAATCGTTTGGCTCTCCCTGAAAGAAGATTATATCTCTCTGTTGACGGCCATAGGACTGCAATGCCTTACTGTGCAAGATGTACCTTAAATGTCAGAGATGATTTTTCTGATACTTTGGAATAATATGTAATCTACCACATTTAGACATTGTTAGAAAAATCATTTCTGACACGGAAGGTATGTTATTGATAATTCCTGGCTTCCCTGCAGCAACTTACCTATTTTCACTTTAATTATGTGTTCCCTCTGGGTAGTCTAGTCTCAACTGATAACAGCTGTGACTAAAACACACTTCCTGAGCAAAGTTGTCATTTGATGGGGGTATTAGTCTGTTCTCACTGTGCTATAAAAAAAAAAAACCTGAGATTGGTTAATTTCTAAAGAGGTTGAATTGACGCAGTCTGCGTGGCTGGGGAGGCCTCAGGAAACTTACAATTGTGGTGGAAGGCACCCTCTTCACAGGGTGGCAGGAGAGAGAATGAGTGGAAGCAGGAGAAATGCCAGACGCTTATAAAACCATCAGATACCATGAGACTCACTCTTTATGCCAAGAACAAAATGAGGGAAACCTCCCCCATGATCCGATTACTTCCACCTCGTCCTGCCCTTGACACATGGGCATTATTACAATGCAATGTGCGATTTGGGTGGGGACACAGCCAAACCATATCAACAAGCATGGAGTTTAAATACACATTGTTTTCTCCTGGCATCACCTTCTTCTACTTGGGCCCAAGTGAGTCACTGGCTATGTCCTATTTGGGCTTTACCATTGATACTTGCTATCTTCTCCCATACCTATTAAAAATGTGCTTTGATGCCTATTTCATTGAGGTGTTTCATATAGCACCTTTCTTTCATCATCCTAGTAAACACATTTACTGTTTCCGTCAGATTTTCCAGAGAAACAGGACCAATAGGACATATGTAGAGAGATACATGAGACGAAATTTATTAGAGGAGTTGGCTCACTCACTTGAGGAAGCTGAAAAGTCCCATGACGGGCTGTCTGCAAGCTGAAGAACCAGGGAAGCCAGTAGCATGACTCCCTCAACCAAAGAAGCCAACGGTTTAACTGTCTGAGACTGAAGACCTGAAGGGCTGGGGGACAGCTGGGGCAAGATCTGGAGTCTAAGGACTAAATTACCTGTTCTGACATCCAAGGATAGGAGAAGAAGGGTGTTTTGGCTCTGGTAGAAAGAGCTCTAATTTGCCCTTTCTCTATCCTTCTCCTCTGCCTGGGCACTGCCTCTCATCACTACCATCTCCCGCTCAATTGGATGGTGCCTACCCACATAAGGGTGGCTCTTCCCCATTCAATCAGTGGACTCACAAACCAATCTCCTACAGAAACACCTCACAGACACACCTGGGGCAGCCCAATTATTCTAATCAAATGTCAAACCACCTGCGTTTCTCTTTTAGCAGAAAAGGGATGGGCTCAGTGCCTGCTGAAGCACGGAGAATAAATGACACTTTACCAGCTATCTGCATGACCCTTAAATCAGTTGACACCCAAAATTAACCATCACAGTCTGCCATTTCCTTAAAATGTGATTTGCAAAGCTGAATCCAAAGTAGAATAGACTGAATTTAATTTTGTTCTGTACATTATGTTTCCAGGAATGCACCTCACATTCATTAGTAGAGTTCACAGTATAATCTAGCCTTGTTCTCTACACTATGTCTCCATCAATGCATCCTAAATCCATTTATGTTAGTTATGGATCATATTAATTTGTGTCAATCTTAGAGATATGCAGGTCTTCCAAAATATTTTTACATCAAATGACATTAATTCATTGATTTTAATTCTATTTTATCTGGAGGTTCTGTTTGTTTTGTCATTTGAATTGTTTAAAAGTGTAGAAGTAGAACTTTATATTATCCATTAATTTCTTTTTTGTTTGATTCAGGCCATTCTTCCAACTTAGCAAGAGCTTAGAATCAAAATTTTGCATCCAATGTATTACCTACCAATCTAGATTTGTGTCACTCACAAATAAAATGATCATGACTTCTCTGTGCGCAGAAAAGTCATTGATAAAACGGTTGAGACGTTTTTAAAGGAACAGAGCTCTGAAACATATTGTTCGAAACCTTATCTTCACAGACAATGATCCATTAATCGGCAATCACCTGTCCCTCAATTCACTGTACTTTACTAGCATCCAGTGTGTTTCTGCATCTTATCCACAAAGATATCATGACAGGGCTGTGAGGGCTGTCAGGCTGTTACCATCCTATCTGTTGCCTCAATCAGTTCCATTGCTCTAATAGACGCTACAGATATTCCCTCTCCCTCGCCTGCTCTCTGTGTGTTCCTTCCAAAGCTGTGTGTACACTCAGTGGAGGAGGACAATCATTCAAAAGTTCGTGAATTACTATGTTAAAAGGATGGCTCACATTAATATTTATTATGTATAACTTGCCTTAAACTACCAATCAGAAATGAAAATGAGATTAGTCTATAATAAATTCATGAACTATTTCTTTAATAATGATTGACTAGCCCTTTGATTTTTACCCTCCTACTGATTACAGTTTTGAATGTTACTATTAACATTTCCCAATCCTTGTCAAGTTTGAGGTATTTTTTGTTTTAATTTCATAGTTTTACTTATTAGCTGAAAAATTTTTAACTGCCTGATTGGAAGCCAAACCACCATGTTACATTTCCTTCACCAAACTGGTAATTATTTTTTTCAACTTAATGGAATTATTTGTGATGAAAGGCAAATTGTTTCATCTACCTTTTCTCCAAAGTATTAGTTACTTCTGTCCTAGTTTTAAAATTGTTATGTTTATCCTGTTAAAATATGTGCTATATATCCAGAATCCCAGAAAATATACCCAGAATCCACGACAGGGAATTGGCATCTGGACCCAGGTTTCCTGAGATTCAAGATAAGCAAGATCAGCTGAGTAACTCAGAACAGAACAACTGGAGGGAAGGCAAGTTGTGTAGTCATACTGGTAAAAGACTGGACAGCCAGCCAAGAGGAAGGCAAGCCAACAAACCTGCTGAAAAGACTGAAACAAAAGACATTACCAGGACAAGTGGAAGCAAGTTTTTCATCACACAGTCGCAGACCTATATGATTAAACTATCCACTCAGAAACCTATGAAGTTTCCGAGGTTTTTTTATGGCTCTGCTTCCTATTGAAGACAGGTTATTCTCATTCATTCAAGAACGTCTGATATGTTTACAGGAAAAAAATGCAAACGTATCTAACGCCTGGTTTCAGAGGAATTGAGCTAGATAAGGTTGGAATATTTCTCATTCTCTCTCTTTTTCTCTCTCACGTAATTTCTGTTCTTAGGAAATAGACTATGGCCTGCCTATTGACTCAGGCCCTGATAAATCAAATGTTGCATCATTGCATGATAAATAACTTTCTTCTTTTACCTAACTACAAAAGAATCTCTGTTCTTGTACAGATGTAAGGGTTATTTTTTTGACTTGTTTTAGTACAGTATATCGGCCACATACACACACATACATACATAAATACATAGACATAGATACTCTTTATACATAACACTGAATTTCTGTTAAGTGGATATGCACATTAATGTAATTCAACGTCTTTATAGTGAAGATGGGGAAATGGATGCCCAGAGCATCTACAATGTACTTAGCATCTCAGGCAGCACCTTTGTAATGTCTATTGCATCTTAGTGAAGGGCTTTCTCAGAAGAACAAAAGCTTCTAAAACCATTAGACTTAAAATATTGTCCATGTTTACATTTCCCTGATGGAAATATGCAACATTTCTTAAGAGTCATTTAACAATGTTTCAAAACACTTAAAAAATTGGGTGTTTTATGACATGCATATCTAATTGTTTGGCAAACGTTTGACCAAACCTCACTGAAAGAGGTAAGAAAAAAAGGTGCTGACCTAAGTAACAAATACAGTCTCTATTTTCAAATATCTTATTTTTAAAAATGCAAAGAAGTTTAAAGGTTAAGCCTGTAACACAACTAGTGCAAGAAGAATTCTGAAAGGGAGCTAGGAGTAATCCCAGAAGTATTGGAAGGAATCTGTGGGGGGAAGCTAGAACTGAAGGCTAGGGAGGTTAGTGACTAATTCAATCAATTAGTAGCACATCTAGGATGGTGCCAAATTTCTCGTATGTCCCATACTTTCAACAGTGCTAACAGCAAATATACATAATATACAGAGTGTGCTATTAAGATGTAAAGAATGAATGGTATCTGCAGCTAACATTCACTGAGCACTTACTGAGTCAGGCACAGTACTAAGTACATTAAAAGCATTAACCTGTTAATTCACAAACACACACACACACACATACACACAAAAAAAACCTAAAGAGAATAAGTTTCAAAAAACTTTAAAAATTGAAGACAGGTTATTCTCATTCATTCAAGAAAGTTTGACATATTTACAGGAAAATAAAGCCTACTGCCCTGGACTAAATGCAAACATATCTAATTACTCCTGGTTTCTGTGGACTTGAGCTAGACAGGGTTGGAATAATTCTCATTCTCTCTCCTCTTTTTATTAATGAGGAAACAAATTTTATCATCCTCATTTATCAATGAGGAAACAAATTTCACCAAGTTCAAAGAGGAGTAAAATAGAAGAACTGAGATTTGGATCCAAGTGCATCTCCAGAGCTCAAGTTTTTTACCACTAAGCAATAAATAATTTCCTATTAATCACGATTAATCTCCTATTAATCATAAATGAGTAGCTCTGATACTGTAATTTTAAAAATCATTACATAAAACACTTTAAAAAGAAAACAGAGTACTTACCTAGACTCCAAGAAGAATTTTTCTCACTAAAACTCATACTTTATGTAGATTGTACTGCAATCTAAAATTTAATTGAAAGATGTTTTATTTTTATTTTTTATTTTTATTTGTTTATTTATTTATTTATTTATTTATTTATTTATATTTGAGAAGGAGTTCTGCTGTTGTCGCCCAGGCTGGAGTGCAATGGCACTATCTTGGCTCACTGCAACCTCCACCTCCCCGGGTTCAAGAGATTCTCCTGCCTCAGCCTCCTGAGTACCTGGGATTACAGGTACCTGCCACCATGCTTGGCTAATTTTTGTATTTTTAGTAGAGACGGGGTTTCACCACGTTGGCCAGACTGGTCTGGAACTCCTGATCTCACGTGATCTGCCCACCTCGGCCTCCCAAATTGCTGGGATTACAGGCGTGAGCCACCACGGCTGGCCTGATGTTGTTTTATTTTAAATTATGTGATTGATAACTCTATTGCTCATAAAATACCGAAAGGATTCATTCATAATTATAACCAAATCTGTATACTCTCTCACTAAGAAGAGGTATACAGGCATTTTAAAGCCACGTTTGTTTGTTTTTTTCTTCTTCTTCCTGTAATTTAAGCCTGAATGTCTGCCACTTTACTGGCTTGTGTCCAGAATTGATTGACAGGTATGGTAATCATGCACAAATGATATGCAAATTGAGGCACTGAATTAATAGCTATGTAAATATAATGTTTTTACTCAACTCAGTTCTAAGTCAGCACAGTCTTTTTTATTTATGAGAAATAAGCTGCACACATTCCCCCAAATAGAGAAATGCACGTTTTAGCATTATTGCTCACACCAATGTTCAGATGAAAGACGCTGCCTACCTTCCTTTCTATTTCTCTAAGTCCTTTTTTAACTTATGGGTCAAATTAAGTCTCACCTAATTCAAAAAGCTTTTCAAGAACCCCTGTAGTCCATTTAATTGGCACTTAACATGAATTATCTCATCTCTTAAGTGTTGATGATGATGATGATGATAGTGGTGATGATTTTAACTATAAATTGACTTTGTGAAGTAATTACTGATTAATTATGAGTGTAATGTCTCAAATTTCTTTAAGAGACTTGAGAGCATTTGCCATTACTACTGGCTACCCTTCCTTTACCAACATTGTTATTCATACCAACTTTCCCTAATACCCATCTTTCCACTGATACTGCAAGCGTGGAAAATCAGTGGAGATAATATTAAAATAAACTTAGAAATAACTGGCTATTCTTCTCAACCCTTCTAATTTCATCATTGTAATTAGCTGATATTTTCTAACTGAACTTAAGGAGGAGAAGTCTAACAATTTTGATCATTTTAATTACACTTAGTTTTCACGTTAAGAATGGTAATTTTAGTAATAATCTTCAATTATTTTGCAATATATTATTTATATTTTTATATATTATATTTTTTGATGAATTGAAAATTCTCCCTAACCCAAAATTTTCAATCACTCATTTTGTTGTTTGTTTTTAATTTTTGGTAGTATAAAAGGTAATACAATATTTTTCCCTAGGCTGAAAAGCACATAACATATGTTAGAAAGAATTCTAAAGTATAGGTAATATTTTTAAATGGTGTTTAAAGTGATAAAATTTAGAATTTGAAAACATACTAAGGTATAATTAGTTAGTTCCTCACGGCCTCAGGTCAGTGAGATATCACCATACATATTAGGATTTGTACTTATTATTCTACACAAATGTATGACTTCAAGGCAACATAATTTCCCATACCTTTAAAAAATCCTTTCTAGTTAGTTTCATTCCTAAAAAAGTGCATTTTTTATAATTACAGAATGATATTTAACACAAAGTAAATTAGATTTATTTTATCCATATGCCACAAAAGGTCAAATTCCATCTGTTCATGTTTCTCTGCTTTCTAAAGTGAATAGTGTTTAGTTACTGAAAGATATACAGATGTTGACAGCCTCCGGGAAACAACCTTTTATTTCTCAATAATTTTTAGATGACTGTTCAGTGGATATCAGCATAGATGTGGGAAAGCATGAGTTCAATTTATGGTCAGTATTGGCACCTTAGTAGTAGATGTAATAAATGGAATACAAATGTTTTATTCATTATGATGTTCTCCTTCTTTTAATGAACAGAAATAAGTGTGCAAGTAAAAACCATGTTCCATAACAAAATGCTCCTTCCAATAATGTAGTTCATTATGAGCTCACGAGTCATACTAGGTTACAAATTTGCATGAGGAATTCCTAATTCATATATATCTTTTTTTTTATTTGGAACAGTAGCATTTTAACAAAGGCCATAGGTACAACGGGGGAAAAAATTAAGTGGCTCATGAAGCTTTTACCTAGGTAAATAGACAACAATTATTTACATTTTTAAAATGATGTCCCTGAATTCCATTTCACCTTGCTAATGAAACCTGGCACATATTGGTACTTTGAGAAAATTATAAGAAATTAATTTTAAATTCTGTGTCACTTAATCATAAATTTCCATAAGTCTGGAAAATACATACATAAAAGAAGATGTGGAACACCATTATAAATTCAATACACTAATAACCATAAATCTATGGTTAATTCTCTCTTCATTTATATATTGTCATACTTATCACCTCTTTACCAATCAAGTTTATACAGTAATATCTAGTGATCTTATATGCTATGTTGATATGGACAGGAGGTAGAGAAATAAGGTGTAGAAGAGGGCAGTCCCCAATGAGGGCCACTCCCTCAAGCCTGGACCCGTGGCCCAAAGTGAGAACATGCATTGCTGTTTTCCCACCTGAATGTTGTTTTTCAAGAACCATCCTGGCCTGCCCCACTGTGTACCCATAAAAGCCCCAGGCCCTACCGGCAGAGTGGCAAGCAGCAGAGAAGGAAAGAAGAGAAGGAGCAGCCAGGCATCAGAGACAAGCCGCTTGACTTCAGAGGAATGGCTTGACCTCAGGGAAGAGTTCAGCCAGGTACAGTCTAACTCCACGGGAAGACCACTTTCCCACTCCATCCCCTTTCCAGCTCCCCATCCTGCTGACAGTCACTTCCACAGCTCAATAAAATCCTCCACATATACCACCCTTCGATTCGTTCCGGTGACTTGATTCTTCCTGGATGCCAGATGCAGGTGCAAGAGGCTGTCACACTGACCCTCCACTGAGCTGTTTAACACTTAAGCCATGTACAGATGGCAAAGCTAAAAGGGCACACTTAACACATGCCCTCTGGGGCTCCAGGGGTCATGGCAACCCCTAGATGCTACCACCAGGCCCACAAAATGTTCTGCTCTTGCCAGTTGCCCTGAAGCTCTCATCCTGGCCTCTGCACCCACTCACCTGTGTGCTCCCCCTCCTGCGAGGGGTTGACAGTTGTAAGCTGAGTAAATGAGCCAACCCCTTTGCAAGTCCATGAAGGAGCCAAGGGAACTATATCCCATTTCAATATGAGGCAAGTTATCCAATCATTGCATACTACTTGCAAAGAGATCTCTCATATGAATTTCTCCTGATTATCAATCTTTCAAAGTATATTGAGATTTAAGGGATAGTCACATCAAAAGAAATGACAAGATGTCACAGTCCTGCCTCGAAAAAAATTTCTTTACTAGAGGAGAAACAGAAAAATGCAATTAAATGAATGTTAACATCTTCATATAAAAATCACATACAATCAAATGACATTTATTCACATCACAGCTAAAGCTGGGGTGATTTAGATAACAGGACCAAATGAGGTTAGCGATCAAGTTTTATTAGTGGTGATTCTTCAATAAGTTTGGTTGTAGAAGTTAAACACAAGATGTTTACTGACTCAGAATTCCCAGGCAGCAAATCTGATTGTATATATTAAGCATTATCTACAAAACAAAACCCTTTTAAGGACTAGGTTAAAAAAATAGTAGGAAAATTTGTTTGTATTTTTAAAGGACAACAAACTTTTTTTTGTGATCTGTTAGGGAAAGAAACTTATTTACATGTTAAGGGAGTAAATTAAACGTGATGCTATTGCCATGAAGAATTGCTGGACAGTTCAAGTCAATTCAGATTAATAGTAACATTTGTATTTGTATAATTATTTACAGATAATAATTATCTTTCTTAGAGTTATCCTTAAATCAGTTTTGGGGGTTAAATTATTACTATCTCCATTTTATTGCTAATGAAAGTGAGAATCAGAATATTCAAAGGATACTGGAAAGTGGAAAAGTCTGAATTCAGGTTTTCTGAATCCTGATTTTACTCTATTTCTGCATATATGCCCCGGCCGTGAGAAGAGCCTGGAAATACATCTAATTTGATCCAGCAATTAAATGAACTCTTAAAAACCAGAGGGCCCAATGGAAATCTATTAGTGCATATAATTAGTCAAGCAGCCAAATAGCTTTCTTCTCCCTTGGGGGGTCCCTCATGCTGTCTGATTGTTTCAAATTCTGCTGATATGTCATTGTATGCCATTTTATATGGTCCTTTTGTTTCTTCATGTTTTGTTAGATGATTGAAACTCACTGACAAAATTAGGCATAACCAAGTGGATCATGCTGTGAGTTTTTACCTTAAAAAGTATCCCTTTCCTGCTAATGGAAAAAACAAAGTCCCAGTTTTCAAAATATTTTCTTGCTGAAATGGAAATGCAAAGTTGATTTAGTATGCCCATGAGTTTCTATGTGACATCCTGATATTCTGATGAGAAAAAAAAAATCTAAATCTATTCATCGTTACTGCAGTAGTGTGGAATTCTTTTCCTACCACCATCCATTGTCAAAAGAGTTAACAGGCCTTTTAACTCTAAGTGCATTTTATTTTAGCATCAGTCAAAACACTGGCATATTCTCCTTGAAAAAGACTATGCACTGTATCTGGGAGGAATCAGGAAATAGTAATGAGTTATTGCTGGTTATCTCGTTTTTTTTTAAATTTAGCCCCATGTTAAAAGAGAACCTTAATTGCTATTTATGAGATTCGTGCCCTAGATTACAAGACTTTGGCAGAAGGTGGAATTATAACATGAAAGTCTACCAAAGTTATTCTGGTTTATTTTCATGCGTTTATTTGTAATTCATG